TATATATATATATATATATATATATATATATATATATATATATATATATATGTGAAATGTGAGATAAATATTTTCAGGTACCATATTCCACTTTGCATCAATCGCATAATTCGACGATACCTATTCAACTGAGACAGATACACGCAAAGGTGGATCACCTTCATCTAGTGAACAGTTACGGATTATTCCGTCGTATGACAGGAATCGACGGTAGACCAGAAGTTATAATAGAAGGCAGCGACAGTATCGAAGGACCATGGAAGGAATATGAATTTTTATATAAACCAGGAAATGTTAACAATTCATTACCGTTCGTTGGTGAGATATAAGGAATATTTTTATATATTTATATTATCAAGCATTTTTCTTACATAAAATACATTATTTCTATTAGCAAGGTTATTTATTAGCAAGCTAACATAAAAAGTAAAAAAAAAACTAATAATTTACTTTTCTATAGCGCCTCATCAACCTCGTCTCGATTGGCAAATGTGGTTTGCTGCTTTAGGTACTTATAATCAAAACCCATGGTTAATGTCTCTAGCTTATCGTTTATTGAGCGGGCAGCCCGAGGTATTGGCGCTATTAAATACTGTCGAAAAACCATTCCCAGACAGGCCGCCAAAATATATTAAAGCTAGTCTTTACCACTATCATTACACGCCATGGAGCCAAATGTGAGTTTACAATTTAATATAAATTAGCATATATAAATAAGCATATAAAACGTATTCATATGTACTTTAAACGTGCGCGATTATATACAATTGAGTTCATACATCAAAATAGTATATAATTTATTTCTGTTATCTTGCATGTAGATCGAAAACTCATGCTTGGTGGACTAGAGAAAGGATAGGAGAGTATTTTCCAATATTCAGCCAAGCTCATCCTCCACTTATCGAATACTTGACAAAAATGAAAATTCTCCAAGAGAAGCCGGGCTTCAAGATTACAAATGAGCCATTCAAATTAATTTTGGACAATCTCAGATCATTGGTTCGTAAGATTGAATCAAGTCTACTCTTATGGAGCGTTTTTACAGCTGGTTGCGTAGTAATCATAACGGGTTACAACAGTTCGGTGTCAAAAAAAAAATAGCCACTGAGCGATGACCATTATAAAAACTTAATAAATAATAAAACTAAAAGGTACTGAATATTAACGCGAAGCTGTAAAATATACGTATATCAGCTGAATGAGAATTATTTGCATACAGTGCAGATACTAATTGCATGTAAAATATCCATCTGCATTTTCTTCTTCCATAGGTCTATTAGACAATATCTGTTACATCGTGTATAATATAACATAATAATATATTAAAAATAAACCTTTACTAAAAAAACTCTACGTAAGAGAAAGAGGAAAGACACACATCACTTTACATAAATTAATATTTATTAGAACGATGAACAAATATGTTCAAAGTATATTAGATGCCTCATTTAAACTATTAAGTAATCTATTTTATTTTGCATTTACTTGTTATAAAAAATATGTGATGCGTATGTGATGATACATGTTGCATATATGTATAAAATCAGATTTCGCATTTTATCTTTTTACTGCATCGCTCATTAGTATTAGTTTCACTGATTTTAAGAACATTATTATTAAGTATTTATAATGGGTCAGAAGAAAATATATCCATTGTTGTAAAAGAGTTAAAAAAAAGAAGAGAGATATACTTCAGTGTAGACATATTTTTTTATATAAATCATTATTACTGCATTTTTTCTAACGTCTTTTACAAATATTACAAATTTTTTGACATTAATTACGTAGATTGTAAATAGGTTTCGATAAAATTACATAATATTAGCAGCCGTTCTTATGGCCTTCCTAAAATCTATAAACGTAAAATTTTATATTCTACTTACAGTTATACTAAATACATGTGTTTGTACGCGTATATATGTACATTCTAAAGTCTCCAGACCACTAATTATCACAGTGTATGTGTGTGTGTTATGTAATACATTATGAATTATTTTCAGAAGATTATATTTGTAATAAATAAAGGCTGGTCTTTTTTTCTACGTACTTTAATATAACAGGAATGTGAACTAAAAAAAAAATGTATCATATTTGCAGGTGAATAAAACTTTAGTACTTCCTAAATATTTCCATAATTGATTGATGAAATTGAGGATTAAGCGTTATTGTGGAACAACTTTATACTTTTTATTAATTACTTTGCAGCTACGTATTACAGGGTGATTTTCCGCTTTATCATCGGATATGCGAAAATTGTTATCAACAGGAACGTTCAAGCTACTTAAACATACTTTTTTATATAGTTGCATAGGCATATCTTGAGATTTTGTTTTCCGTGAGATCACACTGCAAGGAATTAACGTAGTGTTTTGGTTGTTTGCTTCCTCTTTCAAAAATATTGTTTCTGGTCCGCTTATTTGTAACAGAGTGTTCGACAAACCTATGGGAAGTTTAAATAATTGCAACAAACGTGTTCGCAGCAGCTGATATTCAGCATTTTCTGTTTGTATAGGTTGATGATGGTCTGTCGTCGTCATCGTCGTCGTTCGTTTTCGCTTTTTTTCACTTGGCGCCAACGTTTCATAATGATCAGATTTATTTTGATGTTCATATAGTAATTTCCAAAGGAACAAATTCTTCAAACCTAACAAAGTTGCTTGATTTGGCAGAATTATATTCTTCGTTATATCCATTTCCTTATACTCTTCAATAGAGAGAGTAGAGATAGTCTCCTTTGATCGATTCGCGTGTTCGTAATCTTCTATGATATTTTTTATTTTTGAATTTGCACTCACTTCGTTATATCCTAATGAAGTTTTGTTTGCATTATTCCCTTTATCAAAAGACAACGTGCATTTTATTGAATTATACAAATCTATATTTTGTTGATTGTAATTATGATAATCGCTTATTAAGAACTGACCGAGTTTGTGAAACTGAATATTCTCTTCACTACTAACGAGAAGAGACACACCGGGAATTTCAGGGAAATATGCAGGTATATCAACGAGGAATTTTTCATTAACATGTAAATCACAATCTATAGATTTGTTCTTTTGGTTGATCGTTCTTTTTGTCCTTACATATCCATCGAACGGAAGTGGTGGTATAAAGTACTCACTTTCACTATCTTTCGATGAGTAACCAAACATACGCGTTCTAAACTTTTCTATGAATTCATTATCCTGTATTTTGTTTTTCTTCACGTTTATATATTCTTTTAGAGAAATTAAAAGTTGTTTCTCTCTATTATTCAACTGTATGTAATTCAGAAAATCGCCAGGAATATCGAGATTGGCTTTTAACACATTCAATACATTGTATAATTTTTTGGTCTCATGCAAAAGCTCTTCAAAATTGTAAAGTTTTTCGTGAGGATCATTACGTTTCATCGTAGGTGGAAAACAAAGAGTTTCATACAGTCTTAATTGAATATCATATTTACCTATAACGCGATGCTTGAGCTTTTTCTCTGATTCAGTTTTATTAGTATTCTTTGATGCATTATCGGATTGTTTTTTAAAGGTTGCTAAAGAATTTGGATGGTTAATTATAGGTGGTCTAGGTATATTTTGAATACTGATACCTTTCATTATGTATTTTAATAATGCAGTATATCGATGTCTCACTTGCGTTCTTGATTTGTTGCGAAAATACGTAGCTATTTTAGACCAATTATTGCTGTGCTTCTTATGCAGATTAATTAACATCATATCATCGTTGATAGTCCAAAAATTAAAACCACTTTTGTTTTCCATTATCGTGTCGTAGTGTTGGTGGAGTTGTATCGAACTTCGATTTGGCATTACAGTGTTTGAAATTTTAACGAAATTTGTGCCGTATTTTTGTACGGCTTTCAGAAGAGCCGACGTTTCCAAATAAGTGAATCTACCTTTCCTCAAATGAGGCGCCATCCTGTACATCCACCGCGTGTAAATCTGCTGTTTAGTTCTGTGCCGCATATGATTGGCTACTTCGGTCCAAGGAATGTAATCTCCAATCTTGACTCCGTTTATAATTTTCAAGAGATGTCTGTCCTCCTGCTTGGTCCAAGAACGCCCAGCCGATGGCACTTTCTTAATAGTGTTAAACCTAATGAAACATTGATAGGCGCTACGATTTGTCCCTAATTTCTGCGTTATAGTGTCCCAATCTTGATACTTGTATTCTTTCGCGTACCTTAGTAGTTTTTTATCCTCTGTGCTTGTCCATTCAGTTTTTCTAAAAGTAGGATGCAGATAAACGTTCCACATTGCTCGGCATTCGTTCGGCGAATGTCTATTACCAAAATCCATAGCGGAAATCTTATGCCAATCAAACTCTCTTTCACCCAACGCACCTACCATTTTGTTAAAATCTAAAGGAAGCATCAATTTTTTAATTGTACCGTCAGATGTAGACTCCTCGACTTTTTGGCTGGATTCGTCAGGCATTGTCGATGCATATGTTTCATCCTTTATCGCGTTTAAAAGTATCAATCTATCTTTACTTGACCAACGACTTGGCTTTTTCAGAGATACAACGAACAATTCACCGCGTGCTTCCTTCATCAAAGTATCATAGTTCTTGGGAGCACTGAAGTAATTCTTATCTTTAAAATATGGCATGCCAGCATTACTTATTGTCAATTTGGAACTTAAGTTCCGTTCCATAGACTTCATCATCTTCTCATCTAATAGCTTTATTTTCTGCTCACACTCTTCTAGTAGAGTAGACAACTTTTTCTTAGCTATCGTCAAGCCTGTGATCAATCTGGTGTTAATCTCATAAGCATTTAGAGATTTGTCAATAACTCGATTCGTTTCAAGATAGTTGATATAGTTATCGTTGTCATCATCAGAATCAAGACCTATTGACGAGACATTGCTGGATTGTGGACGACTGTTGCTAATATGTTCTTGAGATTTATTTTTCACAGACAAAGCTAATGCTTCATCTAGAGCCTTAATATCTGCCAGGATATCGGAGTCATCAGATTCGCTCATGATGAAGATGTATGCTTCTTATCTGTCTCACAATCACTGTAGCAAATAGATCCAACAATATAATGTAATATATAAAATACAATGCAAATAAAAATACAAAGGCTAATAAGCAAACAATACAAAATATATTTATTAAATTTAAATCATTTTATGATGACTATGATTTTTGTGATTTTTCATGTTCATTAATCTATTTTTATATTTCTTAATTTTTTTATATTCATATTAATTCTTGTATTAATACATATGAATAGCTAAAGAAGATGTAGTGACATCAAAATGACTTAATAAAATGACTTAATAAAAAAATATACATAATATAAAATATAAAAAAATATACATAATTTAATAAATACATCCTTTTGTCCATTTATTGGCCTTTGTAATTTTATTTAAGATCTGTTCTTTGTAACTAGTGTAATACTCATTCTGTTTAAGCTGTGTATATAATAGACAAGTAAGTACAAGATATGATTATATCTTGTATTTATTTGTGTCCATTTTGTATTATATTTAATCTTAATTCCTAATTTTTATTTCCAACATTTAATATTTATTCCTGTCCCAAATTCTTCCTTTCCATTGTTTGCAAGGTCTTAAAATAAAATAGATATATATAAAGTTTGGCGAGATAGAAAGTTGTAACGCTAATCAACTGCAGCGATAAACAGACCTTTACTTGTATAAATACGAGTCAATTTTTAAGTCAATATTCAATATATAATCTATCTCTAATGAAAAATAAACTTCAGTAATACATATAATATCTAATTGAAGATTTGATGAACGAAAAACAAACTTACATGGGGGCGAATAGCTCAGAGTGATGTCAGAATCTTTAAGCTGAAAATCTTCTCACACTGCGTCTCACAATGCACTGTAAATGTTACGTCAAAATCGTGTGGTCATTTATATGTTTCATGAAATCATAACTACAAAGTATCATGATGTTAACACTCTTTCTATTCTTCTTGATGAAAACCTATTTTTAAATAAATATCCTGTTGTTCTTACCTAAGTCTCGAGACGAAACCAAGCAGTCGTAACAAAAATACTATCAAATTCTCAGCAGCGTAGATGTCTGGATGCGGCAAAGTGTATCGTCGCAGTCTAATGTCGTCGTGAAACAAACATGAAACAGCGAGACAAATTGAACGCGAAAACCGGTCGTCTTACGATCGTTAATTTATTTGTTTACTCGTCATGTCATCGACTTACATGACGCAACATCCCTTACAGAAGATTTTCATGGATCTCTGCAAAAAATTACGAGTTTAATATCATCAACGCGAGAGGTAACGAAGATATGGAGAAATTCATACTTGAGAATTTCATAACTAGGTGAAATAGGGAACGTTCTATATTATTGAATGTGAGCATGCAAAATGATCACATAATCACGAATGGTGCACCGCAAACACACTGCCGAAGTATTGTTGAATACGTGGGATAAATACACGCTGAAATTCTCGTGCGCATGCGTAAATAACATTTAGATCATGTGATGAACATTTTTACATTCGTATTTAAATTTAATTTTAAAATAATTCTATAAATTTTTCATAACTTTTGTTAATATGTGATATAGAAAATATATTAAGTGCTATATTTACTATAACCGTTAAATATTATATATATAAATTAAAAGTTTATTAATTTTAAAAGTTTATTAATTATTAGAAATAAATTTCTTAACAACTATATTTTATGAGCCATAATACATTTCATAGTATAAATAATATTTTATTGTATTTTAATTATTCCACAAAATATTATATTTATGCGTGAGATAAATGTGTATGTACATATGTTATTAACAAATTTATTCATTTCTAATTGATAGTTCAAAATTAACTGTTAGTTTACATATTCAATGTTTGATATATGTGTTTATTACAACATTTAATATATTTCCTATATTTCATTAAAATAAATATTAAGCCACAGAGGGGCATAATAATACCTGTAATGAAAGAATATATACGATATTGATGGACACTCATGTTGTGCTATTGCGCATGCGTGATTTGATCTTAAGCCCTGTGCATAATGGAGAAAAATATTAAATTTTGGAAATGAAAATTAAGAATAAAAATTAAACATAACGCACAATGGATAGATTAGATCCTTATTCCCAATCTGTATTTCCATTTAATCTTTATTCTCAAATTTTTATTTTCAAAATTTAATATTTATTTCTGTTCCTAATATTTCCATTGTGTGCAGGGCCTTACGACGCGTTATGCAGCGCCGCCGCGTGTCAACGGCGACGTATTTCGAATTGCGCGTCAAATAACGCGATCACGTGGGACTTGAGAAATATAAAAAATGAGTAGGCTTTTACAAATGAGCCTTTCGAACTTCTCACGTCAAGCCGAGAAGAATCTCCGCTCGCGAAGGCTTTCCGAATTGGGATCGCGTGCGATCCGTTCGCAGATTCCGCAGGCGATGAATCTGATCCCCGCAGCCAAACGGACGGTTTTGACATTCGGCCGGAAGTAGCGCACATATGTTTCCGACGTCGCCGCTGCGGAGGCGCGGCTGCGCAGTCGGTCCGCGGCCCGAACATGTCGACCGAGGAGCGGCGACGGCGGAGTTGATGTATGACACGCTGACGACTGTTATCATGATCACCGTCGCGGCGATTTCCTTCGGTTGAGGTACGCCGGGGTCGACTTAACACGCCGTCGGAGGAGACCGCGTTGCCGGGCAACGTACCTCGTTCGAGGGAGATCAGGGACGGATCTCCCTCTCTCTTTCTCTCTTTCACACGTATATTCTCTCGCTACTGATACTGGTTGAGTGGAGGAGGTGGCGGTGGAGGAGGAGAGGGAGGAGGAAGAGCAGGAGGAGAAGGAGGAGAGGTCCAGCCGCGCCAGATCGTCGTGCCGTCGTACCGTATCGTACCGTACCGTGCCGTTCCGGGGGCGGTGATCGGCGGGATCGGCCGAGCGGAGCGGAGCGGAGCGCAGCGCAGCGCGGGGGCCCTATGTCAAGTCGACGTCGGCGACGAGAACGAAGCGCGCCAGCATGAAGAAGCTATTCTCCAAGATCGACAACACGTCGAAGGAGCCCAACAGCTACCTGGGGAAGGTGTTCGTCGTGGGCCGCCACACGGTCACCGTCGAGGAGGTCCTCGCGGAAGGTACGCGCGTTTTCCCCTCCTCCTCGTCTCTCGCCGTCGCCCGCGACCGTCACCTCCTACGCTTCCTCCGAGTTTCATGCCTCCTTTAGTTTTTTTCCAGGTAGAGAACGCCGGGACTGGACCACCGTTCTCCGTTCTATTTTACAACCGCAATCTTGCCCGCCGTCCCACCCCGCCACCGCTCCGCCTGGTCGTCCCGCTTTTTTTTTTTTTTCTTCCCTCCGTCCCTACGTCTTTCTTCCGCGTTTCTTCGCGCGGGACGGAACGTCGCGTCCCGGTCGTTCCCGCGGCACTGATAAGCGACTGATCTCGCCGTGATTTCGTTCCACATCCGGGGCGGGTTGAACGTCATTGAGCTCGTTAGCTGCCAGAAACGAGGAAAAAGTCAACTGTGTTACTTTGGAATGGACAGTCAATTATCCCCCACGTAGCTAGTTCTGCGAGATTCGTTCAGGAAATCTTTCGAAATATCCTTCTAGTAAGCATCGTTAAGCTCATTAGGGAGTCCCAGAAGTTCTTGATTAAAATGCGCGTTTCGCGCCGTTAACAGGCAGTTTCTGAGAAACATTAACTTGGTCGCTTTGAAAATAAATAATCGATTATTCTGCAAATAACTGAACGTTGCAAGATTCGCTCTGCTGCACTGGACTGCATTAAAACTTTCCTTCTCGTTTTCATAAAGTTTCAAGTAAACCTCTATTTCATTTTAAGTACTAGTGTACTCCAGTTCAGCCAGATGATAAGATTTTACTATTAAGTGTTGATGTATCTGGAGCTGATAAATAGAAAATTGTCCAATCAATAGATTAATCCTGAGATAAAAGGCGAATAGTGAAATGTATCATATCTTTTTTTATCATGTGTGCAATTGTATCTGTATCAGGTTACAACGCGCAATGTGTTCCATGATAACCTTGTAATTTATACGTTTCTCATCCTAATAATCAAATAAGTAATGTAACTAAATAATATGACTAAATAATATGAATCTCATATTCTTCTTTTTGTTATCTATCTTGAAGCGATATTTATTCTTATAAGATCATTCTTATAAGATCATTTTAAGCAATGTTTTAAGATGCTAATATGCTTTGTGATTGATTCATAAAATTTGAAATACGTACTTAAGACAATTTTAAATATAAGAACTGAACATCGACCACGTTCGTCTCTTCGTGCTCATTTCATATGATACTATGATAATTATTTTACAGGAGGATTCGCAATTGTATTTTTGGTCAAATCCTCGGGTGGACGATATGCACTTAAACGGATGTATGTCAACAATGAACATGATCTCAATGTGTGCAAGAGAGAAATACAGATTGCTGTGAGTACTTTCATGAATAATGAGATGCTAATGGCTGTTAATTGGCAATATTAGAAATATATAATATTCTAATGATATGAGTAATAGAAAGATAATGAACAAGTGTCACTTTTTGTTTACAGAGCAACCTGAGTGGTCATAAAAATATCATAGGATATGTAGATAGTAGCATAACCCACACTGGCGGAGGAGTACATGAACTTCTGCTTTTAATGCCTTATTGTAAATCCCAAGTTCTTCAAATGATGAATAACAGGTTAGGAGTAACTTTCTCTCTCTTTCACATTTCTTTTTCAATAATATTCATACAATTTTACATATAATGTATACATATACTTTCGAGTTATAGTATATTATATTTCGAGTTATAATATATTTCTATTTATGTAATTGCAAAATATTATTGATTTAATGATATTAAAATTTATGACATGTATTAGCATACTTTTTACTTCTAGGTTGCAAACAGGTTTCAGTGAATCGGAAGTTCTACAAATTTTTTGTGACGTTTGCGAAGCCGTCTCGCGATTGCACCATTGTCAAACTCCCATAATTCATAGAGATCTCAAGGTGAACTACATAATTATTACATTATAATTACATTAGATATTACGTAACAACATGAGTATCTTGAACTACATTTAATTGTCTCGCGATAGGTGGAAAACATTCTGCTCGCCGATAGCGGTCATTATGTTTTATGCGATTTCGGATCCGCGACGGGGAAGGTTCTTAATCCTAGTGTCCATGGCGCCGCGGTGGTTGAGGAGGAGATAAAGAAATACACAACTTTAAGCTATAGAGCACCTGAAATGGTTGATATGTACTGTGGAAAACCTATCACTACGAAAGCAGATATATGGGTAATGTATATATATTGTTTATGTTTAATATACATCGCTTTCATGTATGATTGTGATATATAAATGAAATTAAAATATTATAAAATCTTATCGGCAAATTTTTTTACATAGAATTTCTGTCTTTCAGGCTTTAGGATGTCTGTTGTATAAACTTTGCTTTTTTACACTACCCTTTGGCGAAAGCACGCTTGCTATTCAATCTGGAAATTTTACTATACCGGATAATTCAAAGTACGTGAAAGACGAATTATACTGATACAAATTGCTTAAATTTTTAGCTGTTAACGAACAAATTAAGTAATAAAATAGTAATATCGATTAGCTAAATATTTATATATGTATTAAATAGTTAAACGAAGTAGATATATGAAACATTTTTATGTTACAGATATAGTAAAGCTCTCCATTGTTTAATTCGATACATGCTTGAACCAGATCCCGACATACGCCCTGACATTTACCAAGTTTCCGCAGTTGCTTTCCAAATCCAAGGCAAAGAGTGTCCCGTGCAAAATTTGCATGTACGTAGGCTGTAATTTTGTACAACTGTGTATTAGTAGTAAATTTATGCAAAATGCATCTCGTATATATATCTGTCTACATATATCTGTCTTATAACTTTGCTCTTCTGAATTTATCTTTATAGAAAGTTCCAACGCCAACGATAGAGTCTTTGCCATGTCCACCCATGGAATCTGAAAACATTAAAAGATCAGCATCTGTAAAAACTCCGAAGCCCACGCCTATAACGACGGTCGAAGGCACATCCGTGACGCCGAGACAAAGACCGAAAGGGCAAGCCGTTAGTACGGGACCGATCAGTTTGAGTGGTCAAATCGTGGGCCAAATATCAGGCCAAGGAAATCAGGCGCAAACTACACCGGGGAATTCTATCTCTTATGTTCAGGTAAAACTCCTTTACTTAATGCCTTGATATCTCTGTTTGAAAATGGAAACGTTTGGATATTTTCGATGAACACGCTTAATTAACATGATTGATAATGATTCTTCATCAGGTATCGCCACATGTTTGTACTCCCAATCAAAGTGTTTCTTTCGGTCAGTCGCAAGGACAGCCGACGCAGTATAATCAATCGCAGAGCCCGATGATCAGTCACTCTCCTCTGACTCAGCAATCGCCCGTCACTGTTCAGGATAAGAACGTGTTTTACTTTGATTCAAGGCAGCACGATGTGAGAGCTACGACGAACGTGAACGAGAAGAATCTGGAGGCTTTATTTCCACCATCAGGTAATTTAGGCGACACCACGTTTCTGGAGAGAAAGCAAAATGCAAGAATGACTGATTTGTTTTCATGTTGTTATGTTTTACAGGATATCCGGATCCGTTCAAAGACGACGCGAGAGCAATGCCACCGCCTGCCAAAATACCACCTCCCGTTGCACCTAAACCCGGTAAAATTCTTTCAAAACTATCCAATCCCAGTTATCCATCGTCATCCAAGTATCCACCGGTCACTTCATTGCCGTCGAAATTATCCATTCCGACGGGGCCTAACAAGGCGACGCCACCGACGGTGACGCCGCCGGCTTTGCCCAAACCAGTTAACAAAACAGAAAGTTTGAGTCAAAATATAAGTTCGAGCGTATCTCCGCCTGACAGTCCGACATTATCATCTTCACGGCATAGGAGGAACGTCAGTGATACGAGTGCTTTTAATAAGTAAGTCCTGTTTTGCTATTTTTACATTGTTCTCTTCTTTCCTCATCATCTCCACAGACTTACACAAATTTCCAAAGTCGATATTTACGACACCTAAATATTTGGCCTCAATCTAAGTTTCTTTTAAATTAACGCCTGAGAGGAGAATTTTAAGAGGCAAGAATCTTGTGCAATCTTTCTTCGCGTCAAGATTTATTTATAGTACAACTTATATTTTGATGTTTATAGAGCGTTTGCAACTGAAACCACTCAATTTTTGGCGCCATATGAGGCTTCGGTCAAACCACGTACCGACGATACGACTACACCACCGGAACTTCCAAGTGATACAAGGCCTTGTATAGCAACTAGTGCCTCGCATGTACGTGTTGTAAGTACACGAAGCGCACAATTTTATGTTTATTTTATTTGAACGTCGGTCGTCTGCCTACAAAATATAAATCATGTTTTCTATTGATAAATATATTTTCGAAATATATTTTCGTTTGTATTTTTTTATAATTTTAAATTATATCTAACGTACACGCGAAGATATAATAAAGTTCTTTCGTAGATATTGAGAAATGACATAAAATAAAAATTTTTTGGGGTAAAAATACCGTGCAGATTACGAGTTATGTAAAATTTTGTTTTCATTTTTTTATTTAAAATTTAATTTTCTTTTATGTATGTTTATTTGAACATTATTTGTATATTATTTTATGCACTGCACTATCATTAGATATTTCCTCATCTCTAAATAACTATTAGGATATCAAAATTATTGTTTAAAAATAATTAATATTTAAAAACTTACCTATATTTTTATTAGGGCGAACTTTCAAGCCTAATGGGATCAGAGGGGAGATCATTGAGCGCGGATGTAGCGGCATGGAATCCATTTGAAGATGTACAACCTTTTAATCAGTTAACAGAAGATCACATCTTCGGTGCTGAATTCGACAAGATAAGGAGAGGAAGCAATACAAGTATTAGCGGAGTGAAAAGTCGCGAAAGCCTTGTAATGACGTATACAGAGTTACCAGAAGATCCCTTTGAATCTGCACCCTTTAGCCTGCCAAGTAAGCTTTCATTAAAGTTTTATATAAATTCCAAAATTAATACAAGATATATATTTTATAAGACTGAAGTATCTATTAATATTTTAATTCTTTCTTAGCAGGAAAGAAGAGTAAAATTGGATCAAAGACTGCTGCTATTGCCGGAGGTAATGCATAAAATCCTTCTTACTCTGTCCTTCATCGTCTCTTTCATTTGTATATTAATCTATTAATCTGTACTTGATTTGGAAATCATTCGCTCGCTGTCTTAATACTTGATTTCTTACTTTTGCTAAATCATCGCTACATAAGGTTTTAAGCTGTAGCTGTAATCATTGTCTTTTGTCGTTTTCGTCGAATCTTAGTTGTATATCAAGTATACCAAAACATTTTAACAAATTTGACTTTAATTTATTAAATATTAAGGTCTGAAGAGCCGTTTATCTAAAATACTAAGGAAAGAGATTTTTTAAAATATTTGTTGAATATATATGATTATACAATGTAAATAATATAATTATATAATTATATAAATTTTACATAATATTTATTTTTATATATCTACAATTATATGAAGCTTTAAAAATATAATTTACAATTATGTAATCGATCGATTTAATTGTCGAGTATTTTGTTATATTTTATTTAAATATTTCAAAAAGAATAAAAATGCTAGAGGTAGTCTTGCTGTACAACTAAGATCAAAATTTTTCAAAATTTCAAAATTTCATACCTTAGCTTTACATATATACATATATGAACAAATTTTTAGAGAAATATTATATTACAATTATAAGTCTCTTTAGAACATCACAATTTTGTTTGTTAACAATGTATATAGACTTGATTATCTTTAATTTCATTAAATCGCAATATTTTTTCTTAATTTAATTTCATGCAATTGATAAAACATTGCACTGAACATTAAAGATTATGAGGCATATAACGCAAATTAAATACATGTCTTTGGATCACTATATATACATAAAATTAATAACAGAAATGAAAAATTTTTCATTCAAAATTAGGAAAGCATTAATTCTAAAATTAAAAATAATTGTTCTTTTTTTATATTTTTCTCTTTCTTGATTTTATATTATTTTCGATTGTGTCACAGTTGGAACAATTGTTGAATAAGATCATCTATAGATAGCAATGTATTTATATAAAATGTTTGTGGACAATAGACATAGATAAATGCTGAAATAACAATTATCAGCATGCTTTTCTGCACATTCATGTACATAAATCTTAATTTTTATTAATAGAGACAGAATTTGAAGTAACGTAATGAGAGGACGTAACGTTTCAAAATAATAATCAATATATAAAATAATATTCAAATATATAAAATAAAATGTTTCCTCTCTCAATTTAATTAGTATTACATATGAAAAATACTTGATTTGTGATATAATGCATAATCAGTTGCTAGTGAATGTTGGCCATGTTGTTGCACTGCTTTATTAAATTTAATTAAAAGATACTAATGACTTTTTAAATAACGTTTATCTAGATAAATAAAGAAAAAATATCGTGAGTTTCTACTATCGTTTGATTTATTAAAGATGTGTGATAAGTTATAAAGCTTAAAAATATTGCTACTCATAATGGAAATAAAAGAAAAATGTTTCGGTTAACTAACGAGTTTCAAAAACTTATTGTATCGCGCTCTCGTTATTTTGAACAAATTTGTTAAATAGGATAGATAATTGATAGAAATGTGTAATGTCTATGCACAAATTATTTTTTTGAAAGAAATCTAACTTTATCTTTATACATATTATTTACGAAGAATTATCTTGTCATAATTAAAAACTTTTTAACAATATGAATATGCGACAGCATATAGATACATGTAGATAAATGTTTTTCTAAATCATTTTTATATTTTTCGAAATATTACTCGTAAATTTACAATTGAAACTTTTTTTTACATAAAAACGTTGATGCTTCTCTTACTTTGTTACTGTGACAGTTTTGATAAAGATATTTGGAAAATCAGTTTGTTTATCTAATATATCTGTGAGAAAGTGATTGTGATGCAAATCTGCTCAGTTATGCTCAATTACGCGAGGAGAGGGGACGGTAGAATATTACCATGAATTACATATTAACTTCTACTTACCTCAAATAGTAAGTTACAGCGTAAGGATGATACATCGAACATTAGACACGAAATATCGATTATGTTATTACAAGTGTAATTATTAAACATTGTTGAGAGATATGATGAACATATAGGATAAAAGAATTTCGTCTTTATAATAGATGTTCCTATGACGTGTAGTGCACAAAGCGGGATTAGCCTTTATTTTTAGTGTTTCCGTACGGAAGTTGATGTATCGATCAAAGAAAGGAACAAATTACGTATAAATATTACATATGCATTACATATATACATACAAATATAAATAAATGAACACGTACACATACCTAAATACCTAAATAAAATATATAAATATATATATATATATATATATAAAAATATGAGAAATTATGTTATATATTATGTGATATACAAAGTTTAGGTACACTATTTTGTCCTACTCATATACATATACGTGCAAACGTATTATGTGTTATAATGATTGTATTATAATAGTATATAAAGAGGAAAGAATGTGGGAAGAATAGATTTCAAATATATCTTCAAGAATTCACGCAATGTGCAACGCAAGGAGTATAGGACTGAAAGAGTTTATTTTAGAATATATCATCGAATACGAGATTTATTTTTGAACGATTTGTGGAAGTATCGGATCGTGAATCTTTTCTTCCCACAAAATGACGATTCTCCGCGCGATGCGTGAATATATACACATACAGACATACATTAAGGGTTATTATATAAAAATCGCAAGATTGTAATCTGCTTTGCGCGATGGTAATACTACAGTGACTGGCAAAACATTACTTGGCGATTATCTTCATTTCTTTGCTCTTCTTCTTCATCCGCATTTCTATCATTTTCATCGACTGTGTCTTTTCTTCTTTGTTTATTCGTTTCTTTTCATTGTATCTCAGTTATATTGCTTTTACAGGGGTATTTGTTAATTTGGGTTTTTCCTTATTTGGGTATATAACTAATATTTCTTTGGCTTTTGTACAAAATTTTCAAGATAAAATGATGTAATTTGGTACTGTTGTAACTTGCAGGAGAAACAATCGGAAGGCAAAAATGGACTTAATTACATCACTTTATTTGATTTAAAAATATAAAGATCATGATCTGTGTATTTCTTTGCATACTCGTCCTGCGTCGTCTTGTTTGTCGTCCAATGCGTTAATGTCTATATCAAAATAACATATCTTATAACATAACAAGGTTTATATCAATCGATATTATATGTACTTGTTATAGCTTGCTGTTCTTCCTAATGGAATATCTATATATAAGTAAAATAATGATTCAGACATATTGATATTTTTTTAAAAGTTATATCGGAGAATTGATGTTGTGCAAAAAGTCCAAGCGATGCTGAGCTATCTCTCTTTCCACTAGTCACTAGTAGTATTACCAGAACCGCCGTAATGTTAATTCTTCCCTGAGCGTGTAAGTATCACAAGTATCCTTCAGGGTATGGCAAGGCGGAGACAATTGATAAATGTGCTTGTTTCTCTGTAGAGAGAGAGAGAGAGAGAGAGAGAGAGAATCTACGAGAAATTATACTCTTCCCTGTCCAATGTCTGGAACAACCTAATGAGTTTGGGAGGCACAAGCCGTTCTTTCGTTTCAAACCGTTTGTTCGAGATCTTTCTTTATCGATCTTGTCCCCCTTTGTTTGCCTCCCATAGTGTCTCTAACAATGTTCTATCACGGAGAGCCCTAGTTAAGTTGCGATATCTCGTACGAGAAGAGGTAACTAGTTATCCATCCCGTCGAATAGCACGAAGCACGCTTCTCCCAAATGGTACATATTTGTGAGCGAGACTTGTGGCTACGAAAAATAGAGAAATTGTGAGACTTTGCGAATTGAGAGCACTATAGGGGGCCGACAAACAGTACCTCGGACGGTACCTTTCTCGCTGTATTAAGACAAATAATGTTGCAGCAATAAAAATGTAAATTAGCATACGGAGTATTTGTTTTTTTTCTGAACGCTACCGGCAGAAAACGCAGCAATACTTTGTCCTTCGTGCGGAGGAGAGCGAGCTAAAAAAAATCGTAAATTCGCCAGGGATATATGGTGGGGATATGCTCTCTCGTGGTGGCTTCAAGCGAGCTGTTGTTGTACTCAGAGCATTACTGCGTTTTTTTTAACACTTAATCCTTAATCCTCTGAATCTGATTAGGACTGTTCCAGACCCATTGGTGGCGGTACTAACAATAGCTTATCTTAGAAAATTATGTATATTGTGCTACTTTCTCCGTGTCGAGGAACATCTAACGTTATCCGTTTTTCTGAAGCTCCTTACGGTAAAACTGTAAATATGCAATGCGCACCATACTCGACAAAGTGCAACTGTCTCTGCAACAGACCTAATCAGACATTTCCTGTTTCTTCTGGCTCTCTTTCTTCCGTAGATAACGATACTCATGCTTTACATCGAGTCAATCGTATCGGTATTTAAAGTTTTTTTAAATTCAAATATTCGATTTAAGAAAAAAATATTAAAAGTGATATTACATTGAATTATGAAAATTATTTCACACGTAAATTGGAGAAATGTTAGTATTGCAGATATAACTATCTTCTATCAGAAGTAAATTTATTTGTTAAAATATTCCACACATAGTAGTGCCCCAGATTGTAGTTCTCGAAAGTTCTCCGACGGATTTGCAGTTTGTGCGCCTTTTTACCATAAGATTCGGCGTAGTCTTGGGTCTTTATTAATCGAAGCGGATCGATATCGTCTATCATAGACTATAATCGATGAGATTTTGCAAAGTAAAAGAATAATAGGTAAGTACGTTACGTTTATAGTGATAACAGAGAGCTCACGTGCTGGCTTAGCTCTGAAGATACTTATTGTTGGTATGTGAGAAACGTCTTGTGCTTATAATCGTATTAATGTAACGCGACGCTCTTGTTTTCCAGGCAAATCGGCGAACGGTAGGGTGAGAATGCCCCTGACGCAGTGGAACTCCGGGGTCGAGCACGGCGGCGGCAGCGGCGGCGGTGTCGACGATGAGGCGTCTCTGATCACCGAGTCCAGCCCGGTCTCGCCGCCGTTCGTTCGCGCGCCGGCGGAGGATCGTTCCAAGTACGAGAAGCTGGCGTTCAACGCCGACGAGGTGTCGAGCGACAGCGACAAGGAAGCGAAGGAGGCGAAGGAGCGGGCGAAGAAGGCGAAGAGGCGACGCGTGAAGAACGTGCTGAGCCGCAGGAGAAGAGTCGCGGCCCAGCACGACGACAACGCGGACAACGCGACGAACGCGACGGGCGTCGACTACGAGTCGGACGACTCGATCGGCTCGGCCAGCGATCTGCGCGCGATCAACGACGAGGAGGGCAACGACGGCGAGGTGAACGACGACGACGACCACGACGACGACGACGACGACGACGACGAGGACGGCGATAAGCGGCGCGGGAAGCACGACGAGACCATCTCCGAGAGCGTGCGCACGTGCGGCAGCTCCGCCTACCACGCGGAATGTGAATCCGTGGCGACGCACGAGGATGACTACAGGTTGAAGAGACCGAGGAAGCACCACTATCGGCAGCAGGAGCAACAGCTGCCGACGATCGACGCGGATCCGATCGTCGGCCACCAGTATGGCGAGAAACCGCTGCTGCTGGACGACGAGCTGGATCCCGAGTCCAAGCCGGAGCAGTCGCACGGCGATCCCTTTGTGCGACATCAGTATGGCTCGAAGCCGTTGTTGTTCAACAACGGCGACAGCTCGTCCGACGATAACGAGAAGGCCAAGTCGTTGAACAACGGCATCTGGAAAGTGGAGGACGACGTGTTCGCCCTGGCTCCTTTTCCGCGGTCCAGCAGCTCCCGGAAGAGCAGCGACAGCCGCGAGAGCGAGTCCAGGAACGTCGATCTGGGCGGCAGCGCGAGAAATTCGCCCCACAATTCGAGTCTGGTGACGCCGATCTCGAGCTCGCCCATACCGGCGGAGGTGTTCGCGGATGTCGTGGTGGAAAGCAAATCCGCACCTCCGCCGACCAAATCCGCCGCTCTACCCTGCAAGTATCCCAAGAGTATCGCGCTCGCGAATAGCAAGACTACTATCTACGAGGAACCGGTGTCGTTCCATCAGGCGAACGTGCAAACCTCGTCGCCGGTAAAGAGCAGCCCTCACGTCAGCATCGCCGAGGAAGAGGAGACCGCCGAGAAGGATCTCTTCGGCTCCTCCCCGTTTAGTCCCAGCGGATTCATCAATCCCTTCAACAACGTTCAGTCCAATTATGCGAACATCGATGCCACGTCGACTCAGCCCATGTCGACAATTCTGAGTCCGGCGGGCCCTTCCTCGTACATCGATTACGCCAACTGCGTTCCGCTGCAGGTCCACAATGCGGCGCCGGACAATTATTACGCTAGTCACTCGAGCACGGTCGCGTCCACATCGAAATACGGGATGGTGACGGTGAATTCTGAATCAGCGGTCGTCGCGGAATCGTCCAAGGATCTCTTCGGGTCGATTCCATTCGAGGAATTTACCTCGCTGAAGCTGAACGAGCAGCAGCAACCACGACCAACGTCTCTGTCGCTGTCGCAGTCGCCGAACTATGTGGAAAACGTCGCGTTGACAACAACATTGCCGGTTACCGGGATCGTGCAGTCCCCGAAGAACACCGTCGTTCATTCGACACCGACTCCACCGTCGCAGTCGCAATCGTCGTCTGCTTACACGATCCAAACGACCACGCACACAGCTAGGATCACCGTGCACGCGGTCAACAGCGTCTCCAAGGTGGACATCACATCCGACATGATTTCGCCCATGTCACCCGAGCCTCTGGTTACCGTGGACGACGACGCGCCGAAGCACAACAAGAAAGACAAGTCCAAGTCGGACAAGTCCAAGTATCATCTGATCAACGAGAATCACGGTGACGTCGCCGACGTGCTGCCGACCTACAAAGTGTCCCACAAGACCAAGTCGGCGAGCCACAAGAAGACGCCCAAGGGCAAGAAGAGCACGGCCGCGACGGCCGGTTTCAGTAACATGAGTTTCGAAGACTTTCCCAGCGACGAAAACGAGGAGAGGCAAGCGGGACGGACAAAGGTAGCGCCGTTCGAGGTGATCCGCGAGGCATCGGAAAAACGATTTGGATCGCTGAAAAGACGCAGCAATCCGTTCACCTGAAATGAGATGGTTTTCATTAGAAGTTAGTTCTGACACGAGAGCCGCTTATTAGCGACGCAGGAACAGGTATAGCATCGACATACGATGTAGTCGATTAATTTGTTGTGCATATCGTAGACACCGATTACCTGGTAAATACCGTTTTATCGCAAAATTATTTGATTCGTCAGAATTTTATCATGTGTACTGTGAATGCACATATACACATATATACACACATACAAACGCGCGCGCGTGCACGCACTAATGTGATTAGCGAGGTACTAATCTCAATAAAAGTGACATGATAAAATTCTCCAACTGAGAAATCAATCGACACAGGTTGTATATACATAGGACACATTTGCGTTTAGAGCGATTTGTTTTTCAAAACGACGTAAATTCATCAGAGTGAAATTTCGAGTGAATAAAAAGTTACGTCTCTTTTACATTACTTGTTTCCGGTGGACATGCAAAGTCCCCCGAAAAAAAATGTATCGAAATTCGAAAAGTGATATATTGTCCTGAAAGATCATATAATCTCAAAATATGAGAAATGAGACAATATCCCCAAAAATTATAAATCAAACTAGATATCGAGTGTCGAAATTTAAAAAAAAGAATGAACACAATATCTAAGAAAAACATATGTTAAAATCAATTAACTAAAGCTTTTATGTCAATAATTTTTTAAAAATCTTGACACAAACTAATTGCTACGACTTTTGGATACATTATTATAGAAATAAAAAGATTTCTTTTATATAATATATATTTTTTTCCTATGTAAACAAAAAATATATATTTTTTTTACTTATATATATATATATATATATATATATATATATATGTGTGTTAGT